CAATAGAAACATCATGGACAACAACTAAATATTAATTACGAATACAAACGCTGGAATGGGCTCGACTGGTGCTTACATTTCAAAACAATATTAATTCCTAGTATAAAAACGAATACATTCAAGGAAAATATACCATATGCTTAGGATACTATATTCTTTTAAGGGGATACGTAGTCTGTAGTCGGATAAATTCAAGTACTTTCCGAAGAAGAAGAGAAAGAGGACAAGAAGAGAAAAGAAACAAGAACAGAAAGGAAACAAGAAAAGAAAGGAGACAAGAACAGAAAGGAGACGAGACAAGAATATAATAAGAACATGTAGATGAAAGGGAAGTAAGCCAAGAGTTACCTGTGTCCGAGTTCATGAGCAGCCGTGGCCCCGACACTTCCGGTGTTGTCCTGTTCAATGAGAGACACCGAATTCAGGGAGCACATGCCGCCTAGTTTAGCCAGTCCTGGGGACAGACACGGGAGAGTGTGTGTATGCGCCATCAACAGACACGGGAGAGTGTGTGTATGCACCATCAACAGACACGGGAGAGTGTGTGTATGTCACCATCAACAGACACGGGAGAGTGTATGTCACCATCAACAGACACGGGAGAGTGTATGTCACCATCAACAGACACGGGAGAGTGTATGTCACCATCAACAGACACGGGAGAGTGTGTGTATGTCACCATCAACAGACACGGGAGAGTGTATGCACCATCAACAGACACGGGAGAGTGTGTGTATGTCACCATCAACAGACACGGGAGAGTGTGTGTATGCACCATCAACAGACACGGGAGAGTGTGTGTATGTCACCATCAACAGACACGGGAGAGTGTATGTCACCATCAACAGACACGGGAGAGTGTATGTCACCATCAACAGACACGGGAGAGTGTGTGTATGCACCATCAACAGACACGGGAGAGTGTGTGTATGTCACCATCAACAGACACGGGAGAGTGTGTGTATGTCACCATCAACAGACACGGGAGAGTGTGTGTATGCACCATCAACAGACACGGGAGAGTGTGTGTATGTCACCATCAACAGACACGGGAGAGTGTGTGTATGCACCATCAACAGACACGGGAGAGTGTGTGTATGTCACCATCAACAGACACGGGAGAGTGTGTGTATGTCACCATCAACAGACACGGGAGAGTGTGTGTATGCACCATCGACAGACACGGGAGAGTGTATGTATGCGCCATCAACAGACACGGGAGAGTCTGTGTATGCACCATCAACAGACACGAGAGAGTGTGTGTATGCGCCATCAACAGACACGGGAGAGTGTGTGTATGCGCCATCAACAGACACGGGAGAGTGTGTGTATGCACCATCAACAGACACGGGAGAGTGTATGTATGCGCCATCAACAGACACGGGAGAGTGTGTGTATGTCACCATCAACAGACACGGGAGAGTGTGTGTATGTCACCATCAACAGACACGGGAGAGTGTGTGTATGTCACCATCAACAGACACGGGAGAGTGTGTGTATGTCACCATCAACAGACACGAGAGAGTGTGTGTATGTCACCATCAACAGACACGGGAGAGTGTGTGTATGTCACCATCAACAGACACGGGAGAGTCTGTGTATGCACCATCAACAGACACGGGAGAGTGTGTGTCACCATCAACAGACACGGGAGAGTGTGTGTATGTCACCATCAACAGACACGGGAGAGTGTGTGTATGTCACCATCAACAGACACGGGAGAGTGTGTGTATGTCACCATCAACAGACACGGGAGAGTGTTTGTATGTCACCATCAACAGACACGGGAGAGTGTGTGTATGCACCATCAACAGACACGGGAGAGTGTATGTATGCGCCATCAACAGACACGGGAGAGTCTGTGTATGCACCATCAACAGACACGAGAGAGTGTGTGTATGCGCCATCAACAGACACGGGAGAGTGTGTGTATGCGCCATCAACAGACACGGGAGAGTGTGTGTATGCACCATCAACAGACACGGGAGAGTGTGTGTCACCATCAACAGACACGGGAGAGTCTGTGTATGCACCATCAACAGACACGGGAGAGTGTGTGTATGCACCATCAACAGACACGGGAGAGTGTGTGTATGTCACCATCAACAGACACGGGAGAGTGTGTGTATGTCACCATCAACAGACACGGGAGAGTGTATGTCACCATCAACAGACACGGGAGAGTGTGTGTATGTCACCATCAACAGACACGGGAGAGTGTATGTCACCATCAACAGACACGGGAGAGTGTGTGTATGTCACCATCAACAGACACGGGAGAGTGTGTGTATGTCACCATCAACAGACACGGGAGAGTGTGTGTATGCGCCATCAACAGACACGGGAGAGTGTGTGTATGTCACCATCAACAGACACGGGAGAGTGGAGAGGTATGTCACCATCAACAGACACGGGAGTGTGTGTATGCGCCATCAACAGACACGGGAGAGTGTGTGTATGCACCATCAACAGACACGGGAGAGTGTGTGCATCATCAACAGACACGGGAGAGTGTGTGTATGTCACCATCAACAGACACGGGAGAGTGTATGTCACCATCAACAGACACGGGAGAGTGTGTGTATGTCACCATCAACAGACACGGGAGAGTGTGTGTATGCACCATCAACAGACACAGGAGAGTGTATGTATGTCACCATCAACAGACACGAGAGAGTGTATGTCACGATCAACAGACACGGGAGAGTGTGTGTATGTCACCATCAACAGACACGGGAGAGTGTGTGTATGTCACCATCAACAGACACGGGAGAGTGTGTGTATGTCACCATCAACAGACACAAGAGAGTGTATGTCACCATCAACAGACACGGGAGAGTGTGTGTATGTCACCATCAACAGACACGGGAGAGTGTGTGTATGCACCATCAACAGACACGGGAGAGTGTGTGTATGTCACCATCAACAGACACGGGAGAGTGTGTGTATGTCCCCATCAACAGACACGGGACAGTGTGTGTATGTCACCATCAACAGACACGGGAGAGTGTGTGCACCATCAACAGACACGAGAGAGTGTGTGTATGCACCATCAACAGACACGGGAGAGTGTGTGTATGTCACTATCAACAGACACGGGAGAGTGTGTGTATGTCACCATCAACAGACACGGGAGAGTGTATGTCACCATCAACAGACACGGGAGAGTGTGTGTATGTCACCATCAACAGACACGGGAGAGTGTGTGTATGCACCATCAACAGACACAGGAGAGTGTATGTATGTCACCATCAACAGACACGAGAGAGTGTATGTCACGATCAACAGACACGGGAGAGTGTGTGTATGTCACCATCAACAGACACGGGAGAGTGTGTGTATGTCACCATCAACAGACACGGGAGAGTGTGTGTATGTCACCATCAACAGACACGAGAGAGTGTATGTCACCATCAACAGACACGGGAGAGTGTGTGTATGCACCATCAACAGACACAGGAGAGTGTATGTATGTCACCATCAACAGACACGAGAGAGTGTATGTCACGATCAACAGACACGGGAGAGTGTGTGTATGTCACCATCAACAGACACGGGAGAGTGTGTGTATGTCACCATCAACAGACACGGGAGAGTGTGTGTATGTCACCATCAACAGACACGGGAGAGTGTGTGTATGTCACCATCAACAGACACGGGAGAGTGTGTGTATGTCACCATCAACAGACACGGGAGAGTGTGTGTATGTCACCATCAACAGACACGGGACAATATTTGTTTGACACCATCAACAGTCACGGGACAATGTTTGTTTGACACCATCAACAGTCACGGGACAATATTTGTTTGACACCATCAAAAGTCACGGGACAATGTTTGTATGCTACAATGAACTGACACTTGACAATATTTGTATGGCACCTCTAACAGTCACGTGACAATGTTTGTATGGTGCGATCAACTGACACGGGACATTATTTGTATGGCACCATCAACAGTCTCGGGACATTGTGTGTATGGCACCATCAACAGACACGGGAAATAGGGTTATTGCACCATCAACAGACACGGGAAATAGGGTTATTGCGCCATCAACAGACACGGGGCACTGTTTCCGGGTCATCATAATCACCTCTGATAAAGGTGTCAAGTTAAAGTGAAGATGTTTTAATTCGCGAGAGACAGTAGAGAAGTGGCTAGGTAAAATTTATATATAATTATTGACCTCAGCTGCCAGGTCGACCTAGTTTGAAATGGATACCTGGAAATATACGGGATGGTGGGGGGGGGGGGCGCTTAAAAATATTTAAAATTAAAAAAAAAAATTACAGTAACTATGCAATTGCCTTATAACATGTCAATATTGTTTGTTAAGGGTGACCAGGGTGCGTGACATCTCGGTGCAGACGGATTCGGTTACGTCATATAATGACAGCTTAAAGATGGCCGCCCCACTTCTGACATGCACCAGAGAGGAGCAGCGCTTTGTTGTCCGTTTATTTGTGACCAGAGAAGGGTGTGGTGGTGCATGCCTCTCAGTCCAGAAAATGTGTGAGTGGGTTTTTAAAAAAAATGTTAGTTGAGTATCCTTTACAGGACGTTGCAGAACCAACATAAGTATTTTTAAGCTGTTGTGGGTTTTATAGGCAAACTTTAAGTTCCGTAGTTTGCCACTGCTTACTGAACGATCAGCGTTAGGTACCACTTTTAAAACCAACGCATGACATTCTGTTGCCAAATCGTCTGCAGCTGGGATCTAACCCAGCACGCCGGCGTTACGAAGCGCGTTCGCAACACCTAAACCACCTTAGTCATTTTCTAAAGAGTGGTAAATTTTTTCTGAAGCGGCAACAATTTAGCACTTCCTTGCTCGATTTTGTACTTTATTTGAGAAGGATTTATTTATTTCCTTCATTTTTATTTAATTGTTTAGGAGATTTAGCGAGTTTCAGCGAAGTATGCGAGACAATAAATTATGCAATCTATTGTTTGTGTCCTCTTTGTTTAAAAATAGAAATGTGAAGGATAAGATCACTTACCTGCCACGTTACGGTTTCCATCTGTTGAGATATCAAACCTGGAGACGACAAAGGACACAACAGCACAGTAGTTTCCTCACAGATAACGTATGAGCAATGAACATCAACAGTGGCGATGACGTAAAAGAGCACGGACGAAATGATCAGAAAAAGTGAATGGACAAATTGGAAGACTGCAAAGTAAGTTTAAGTCGCTAAAGGAAATTAAAAAAATAAAAGACATGGTAATAAAAAAAAAATAATAACTAGGTTTGACTACACTCTTCTTCTTCTTCCTCTGTTTTTTTCTCCTCTCCTCCTCCCCCTTCTCCTCCTCTTCCCCCTTCCTCTTTTTGTCGTCTTCTTCTCTGTCATTCTTTCACTGAGAATATTTTAGGCTGCAACCAGTGCACATTGATCCCTTGAATCTGTTGCCATCCCCTGCCCCTTTTCCCTCCCATTCCAATATTCTGCATCTGTGTTTATCTATATTAATTTTACGTTTTATGCCCAATTCTGTGTCGTTTACTCTTACATTCTAGAGAAATGACTTTACAAATATAGTATTACATGCGTAGTTGCGAAATTCTCCGAGCTCTGAGCTAGTACTGGCATCAGCAACGTACGACACTCCTGAAGGGTGTGGCTCGTGGAATAATTTATAAAAGTATGCTTAAATTGGCACTACTCGAGGCGAGATGGGGGGGGGGAGGGGGCGAGAGGTGGGCGTGTCTTGGTTGTGAAGTGGTGAAGCCGTTTGCTTCGATGTCTGAAGACTGTTGGTTCGTTTTATGGATGCGTTGTTCTGTACAAGGTGCAGTTTAACAGAGATGAATAAGTTCGTCGCCGGAGCTACGAAGTGCATGCTTTGTGCCATGCTCTAGTTAAGGCTAGACTATCTACTGAGACAGACCAAGCTATACTGGATAAAATTCGGTACAATTAAATCGATCATATCAAAGTAAACTTTTTTTCTCAACTTTGAGGCTGGCACATTGAGTGATTTTGTAACATCACTTAAGCACAACACTATTAAAGAGGAGGGAGATACAACACACACACACACACACACACACACACACACACACACACACACACACACACATATATATATATATATATATATATATATATATATATATATATAGAGAGAGAGAGAGAGAGAGATAGACACACACAGAGAGAAGTATATGTGTGTGTGTGTGTTTATATATATATATATGAGAGAGAGAGGCAGAGAGAGAGAGAGAGAGAGAGAGAGAGAGAGAGAGAGAGAGAGAGAGAGAGAGAGAGAGAGAGAGAGAGAGAGAGAGATTGTGCCACACAAATCGATCCTCCGAACTGAACTTTTTTACTTTTAGGCTTTTAGGGTGGCATATTGAGTGACTTGGCGTCACATTGGCGCAGTACAACTGAAAAAGGGGAAAACTTAGAGAGGTTGTGTACCAGGAGATCCACTTGAAGTTGACTTTTTTTTTTTTTAAACTTCAAGCTTGGAACACTGAGTGACTTCGGGCAACATTGTTTCGCTACGACATTACCAAAGGGACAGAGAAAGGGAGAATAGGAGAGGAGAGGAGTAGGGGAGAGGTATAGTTAAAGAGTTAGTGTGTCAGAGACAGAAGACATAAACACTTACCCGGTAAACAACATCCAGTGGTCACTGGGGGGAAGATCATAGCGGGAGGATTTGACCCACAGACGGAAGGACTCCAAGGCTCGAGAAGCATCCACGCAATGAGTGACTGGGTCAAAACTGTCTTCAGTCCAAGTGCTGATTTTCTGTGACTGTTGTGCGATAGATAAGAAATACGTTTAAAAATAGGCGGCTCTTGTTGTTTGATTATATCTTCCTATTATGTGCAGCAAGTATGCACGCTCTAACAGTCACCAACTCACGCAGGATGCCTTGTGTAAACGCTTCAACAGTCACAAAGTCACTCAAAGTCCCTAGAGTAAGCACTCCAACAGTCACTAATTCACTCATAATCCCTGGAGTAAACGCTGCAATCGTCGAAAAACTCACAGTCCCTGTAGTAAGCGCTCTAACAGTCACTAACTCATAGTCCCTGGAGTAAATGCTCTAGCAGTCACTAACTTACAGTCCCTGGAATAATGCTCCAGCAATTATTAACTCATTTACCACCCTTGGAATAGAGGCTCCAGAAGTCACTAACACACATTCCCTGGAGTAAACGCTCCAACAGTCACAAACTCACAGTCCCTGGAGTAAACGCTCCAACATTCACTAACTCACACACAGTACCTGGAATACATGCTCTAGCAACTATCAACTCATTAAACACCTCTGGAATACATGCTCTAGCAACTATCAACTCATTAAACACCTCTGGAATACATGCTCTAGCAACTATCAACTCATTAAACACCTTTGGAATACATGCTCTAGCAACTATCAACTCATTAAACACCTTTGGAATACATGCTCTAGCAACTATCAACTCATTAAACACCTTTGGAATACATGCTCTAGCAACTATCAACTCATTAAACACCTCTGGAATACATGCTCTAGCAACTATCAACTCATTAAACACCTTTGGAATACATGCTCTAGCAACTATCAACTCATTAAACACCTTTGGAATACATGCTCTAGCAACTATCAACTCATTAAATAACCTTTGGAATACATGCTCTAGCAACTATCAACTCATTAAACACCTTTGGAATACATGCTCTAGCAACTATCAACTCATTAAACACCTTTGGAATACATGCTCTAGCAACTATCACCTCATTTACCATCTTTGGAATACATGCTCTAGCAACTATCAATTCATTTACCACTCTTGGAATACATGCTTTAGCAACTATCAACTCATTTACCACCCTTGGAATACATGCTCTAGCAACTATCAATTCATTTACCACCCTTGGAAAACATGCTCTAGCAACTATCAATTCATTTACCGCCCTTGGAATACATGCTCTAGCAATTATCAACTCATTTACCCTTGGAATAGACGCTCCAGAAGTGCTTCCCCCTTTGATTTCTGTGATCATTAGTTGCATACACAGCCCATGTGAATGGGAAGACAGTGAAAGAAAAAAGCCAGGCAATCAGTTTATTTACTTCTAGCATGACGATAGAGATCGCTGCTGTCACATGAGCACTGGCTTAAGTTAGTCCCACTTCCATCTTCATGGCAAATGGATCACCTGATAAGAGCTGTGCCAGCAACAACCAGACAGAACTGGCATCGCACGTCTTGCCGGGACAATTTACACAGACTGGAGTCGCGGCAAAGCAAGTAGTGTTATATGTGCTGTCAGATATGCTAACACAAACAGTCCACCATTAGAAATGTAGTTTATCGATGGAAACAGCAGTTGCAACAAATCAGCAGTCGCACGCGTAATTTCTCAAAAGGTAGCACCATCTCTGTGGCAACGGGCCGCTTATCATTCTCTGAGTCTACAGTTCACAATACAAACCACATTGGACACAGCTTAGTATCAGAAGTAACAAAACGCTACTTACGTTGACAATCAGAAGTAATAAAACGATACTTACGTTGACAATCAGTAGACCACTGATTAATATCTTCAAACTAAAAGAGCTGTCCACGTTTTTTATACTACTGTATCTGACGTTCATCTGAGGACAAGAAATCAACATCACGTCAGTCGTCCTGGTTCAAATACCCCCCCCCCCACCCCCCCCCCCCCCCCATCGTAACGGCTTGTCTTCGGTCTGCTGGCCTGTAGTACTGAGTTAAAATCGCAGTTCAAATAGAACAGGCTGTTTGCGCTCTGAATAGGTAGAAAGCGTTCGAAAATCGCACTTAACCTCCGTCACCTGGATCTATACCCATGGTCATGCTGGCTTAAAGGGTAATGAGCGTGTGGACCAACTGGTAGGCAAGGCGCCAAAACCTGTGGGAGGAAGCATGGACAGTACGGACTGGGCTAGTGGAAAATGAGGAATCTCTTAAACCAACACCATTGCGTGACATGGGAGTAAAAGCATGGTGAAGCACGTCTATGCCGTCTTCGAGGCTGAGATAGGAAACATTATAACAAACTTCTCATGGTCACAGTTAGTATAAGTACCTGGGAGTGGCTGCTGCATCTGAGGTCGGAGCACGCATAGAAATGCCCAATGTGCAGTGCACATCGACTGTGATGACATCACATCAAATCCGCCATCAATGCAATCACATCAAATCCGCCATCAATGCAATCACATCAAATCCGTCATCAATGCAATCACATCAAATCCGCCATCAATGCAATCACATCAAATCCGCCATCATGCAATCACATCAAATCCGCCATCAATCACATCAAATCCGCCATCAATGCAATCACATCAAATCCGCCATCAATGCAATCACATCAAATCCGCCATCAATGCAATCACATCCGCCATCAATGCAATCACATCAAATCCGCCATCAATGCAATCACATCAAATCCGCCATCAATGCAATCACATCAAATCCGCCATCAATGCAATCACATCAAATCCGCCATCAATGCAATCACATCAAATCCGCCATCAATGCAATCACATCAAATCCGCCATCATGCAATCACATCAAATCCGCCATCAATGCAATCACATCAAATCCGCCATCAATGCAATCACATCAAATCCGCCATCAATGCAATCACATCAAATCCGCCATCAATGCAATCACATCAAATCCGCCATCAATGCAATCACATCAAATCCGCCATCAATGCAATCACATCAAATCCGCCATCAATGCAGATGTTTTTTGTAAATAAAATGAAAGAATAAAGTTCAACCCTACCAGAACCACATAACGAGCAACAAACACCCGGTGACACAAAGTGCCACTATTCGGATGAGAATCACCCGGGTACATACCCCGCTCAACCGTTAGGTTACATTAGGGTCCCTGATAACAGCTGGAGTGGGTCTTCAAAATATAAAAGTTGCCTCTCGTGTTGTACTTGGTAAATTACATTGACTAGGGCTCTGTCAAACGGTTGCCTAGAATGAGTAGGTAAACAAAACAAAAAGTTAAGGACCCTTTTCAACGCCTTTAGGCGTATAGGGCACATAGGGCTAGACCTATTTTTTATAGACCTATCGGCATAAGATGGGTGATGTGGTCAGCATCACGCCGGCCACCTTTACTTCTCGGGACTGCACCCGGTACCCATTCATGGCTGGGTCGACATGGAAGCGAAGGTCTTTTTTTAAAAAAAGTCCGACTCCGCTAGAAAGCGAACCCACGACCTAGATAGAATGAGTACTATAAAATTAAAAATATATAACATGATGACACTTATCAGCAAATACATTTAAAGATAATGAATATACAAGGTTAAGAGGCACTGTTTATGCTCACAACACAATTATTACATGGAGGAGAGAAGCCCCCAAGCAGCCCGAGCCCTTTGGTTTTGGGGCCGACTGTGGGAAAAGAACCCGGGTCCCTTGTTAGAAAAGAACCCTGTTCTCAACGTGAAGACTCCAAGACAACATTCAACAAGACGTATTCAAAGGGACCCAACTCCATAATCACCACCTACCGAGTTTGCAATGAAGGCGTAATATAAGTTCATCTCAATCTGTGTCAGCGTTGCGTTGTGTCTGTAGTATTTCAGCCATCTGGGAAAGAGAAACAGTAGTATTTCAGCCATCTGGGAAAGAGAAACAGTAGTATTTCAGCCATCTGGGAAAGAGAAACAGTAGTATTTCAGCCATCTGGGAAAGAGAAAGTAGTAGTTCAGCCATCTGGGAACAGTAGTATTTCAGCCATCTAGTATTTCAGCCATCTGGGAAAGAGAAACAGTAGTATTTCAGCCATCTGTGAAAGAGAAACCCTAGTATTTCAGCCATCTGGGAAAAAGAAACCCTAGTAATTCAGCCATCTGTGCAACTTAGGCCCACCGCCCTAAAGAAAACATTGGGTGGTCTAGTCCACTCACCCCTCCCCCCCCCCCTTTTTATTGTTCTCCATGACAACCGCTGCCTCCCCCCCCCCCCTTTTTTTCCACTTTATTTTTTTTTTACTTTGCGCTCACTCACCTCCTATTTAGTTAACAAAATAATAATCACGTCCTCATCACCACCTAGGCAGAACATGGTAGGATCCCAGATCCATTTCAGCCCCCCCCCCCCCCCGCGCCCAGCGGTTCAACCTCCAGAGAAGTTATAATTAGGGCCCTCGTATCGGCAACACCGATAAACCGGTAGTGCTCTAGAGCGAAGCATCTCAAGAAGGAGATGGATGAAGCTTTTTTTTTCTTTCTTTCTCTTTGTCGAGAGGATCCACGTCGTTACACCGGGTTTGATCCCATAGGGCATGGTCTCTCTTTGTAGAACGACTAACCGCCTGCCGAAGGCGCTGCACAAAGCGCGAACTCTGTAGCTTCGGTGACAATCCCCGGTGATCTCTGTAGAATGTTGCACTCGTGAACTGAAGAGCGCAGCCATGAAACGAACCCACGACCTTCAGAGCGCGAGACAAACGGCTTGACCACTTTGCCACGGAGATCGCTCCTTCCCCCCCCCCCCCCCACTCCACCCACCAGATGAAGCTATGAAAGGTGACTGAAGATATGAGACTTTGGGCTGTTGAGGGACATTGCTCCATTACGGACTAAAGAAGGAGGAGAAGAAACATGAAGTTCCTATCCAGTGTGTCCGCAGATGACAAAAGCCCGCAACTCTACCAGAACATCTGACGGACACTCTCAAGACTGCTCTCAGTTCTTTTGGCATCAATAAAGCGACGTGGGAGGCTGGTGCATAAGACCGTCGTGGATGGCGTAAGTTCCTCAGGCCTGGTGCATCGGCCTGCCAGACAGCGGAGACTGCACAGGCAAAGACACGGAGGCAGACTAGAAAGAATCGTACTGCTAATCCCCAAACTTACTGCGGCTTCCATCTGTTGTCCGCACTGCTCAAGAACTTTCCAGGCTCATATCGGACTAATCAGCTACCTTTGTACTCATAATCATTGATCATTACTACTTTGGATGAAAGTGATCTTCATCCCTCCTGATGGACGAACAACAAATCTGACGGAAGAGCAAAGTGAACTTACGTTCTGTAGTCCTTGTTGTCAGCAATCATGAAGAGCTGTACTTCATTCTCGCCGGCCTGCATCAGTTGACGTTTCGATCGAACGCCAGGTTTCTTGCAGCAGCACATTGGTCCTCTCCCGGATCTTCACTTTTGCATCGGTTGCTGTCAGTTGGACACGGGTTAACATTGTAAACATTCATGGACCGTTGTAACAGGCATCGTTTCTATGTACAATACATACACTGTGCTTGCCTGTCAACAGGCGCCCTGCCACCATCTTTGTGGGAGCTTACAAGGGAGCTCCCCGCCCCCATCCTTATGAGGCTCCTCTAATAATTTTTTAGGAAAGTTATGTAAGCCTTTTTCAAGTGTACAATAATAATGATTACTAGTAATTACTAATGGCAAATAAATGCGGTGTGTCCGTAAAGTAATGGTGCACTTGTGACGTCAAAAGGACGGTATAATATTTAAGGCTGTGAGACTGTGTGGTGGTTTCCCTCTGTTTTGTCCAGTGGGTTACCGGGAAAAAGTCTTCTAGCGACACTATAACAATTATTTGCACTCCTCCGAATAGCGGTCCCAAATTATCGAGATTAAAAATATACCCTAACTAGGCCTCAATGATATGTAAAATTAGGATTTATTTCCGGCAAATATGGCAGGTAGACCAACAGCTGCGACACAGAATTAGCAATAATGTCCTACCGATTGATGAATTGGTACATGTAAATGTTAGACCTGCCGACTTATGTGTATTAATGAATAATACACTACAGTGTTAGCACAAAGACCGCTTTTTCGGACAGTATTTATAACTTTTGTGCCACAATTATCAGATACGACTATTAACTATTATTGGTAAGTGTGTCGCTCATTCTTTTTTTTTTTTTGTTTTTTTTTTTTTGTATTTTCTAATAGAAGACCTATTGAGGCCCTGTTAGGGTATATTTTTAACGTCTATAATTTAGGGACCGTTATACGGAGAAGTGCCCAATTATTTATGCCGTCTAGTGGGGTTCCGGTCTTCTTCACAGTACCCCTCTCTGGCCACCATTATAAAGCAGTGGTCTCTAACGTTTTCAGATCGTGCGCCCTTGAGTATATGTCAAGACTCCCAAGCCCCATGTGAATATTTTGCAAGGCCCTTAACCCCCCCCCCCCCCCCTCCCCCCCCCCCCCATTTCCAGTTATATGACAAACCCACACGCTCCCTTGAGTATACAAAAAAAAAAAAAAAAAAAACAGTCGCCTTTTCCCATGTCTCAACATAGCCCCAAATGTCCTTGAAAATTGAACAATAGTTTCCCCAACAAGAGAAACAAAAAGTATGGAGATACGTTTTGGCCAGAATGTGTTTTTAACCTAAAATAAAAGGAGCTGGTCATAATACAATTCAAATTTGTAACGGCAAATGTATGTCTAAACCACTTGTCGACGAAGTCGAACTCTAATAGAACTCTAAACACATTCAGCTATTTTATGGCCACAGAGTGGTGCAATATTCTTCTTTTTCTTGGTGTTCACCGGCTGTAAACTCCTGTGGAAAGTTCTCGTTCTTTGTACACATCTGGACTTTAGACCGTTTTACAGATGAGGCTTATTTGTATGCAGACTGTTAGTTCCTCGCCTCTCGTGTAAATGCTCACTGACTTCAAGGAAACAATCCTAATTTGTCACCTGCTGCGACATGCTTGCTAGGATGCAATGGGTCTATTTTTAATCAATGCGTTTTTAATAGTTGATTGGAAAGCCTGTACGCCTGAAAACTATGGAAGACCCAAATGCAAAAGAAGTGTCAATTGATTGATTGAACCCTGAGATATTCTTGTTTGCAATTGGAACATCTTCACTCATTATGACGAAGTTATGTTTCCTTTCAGTAGCTGTGAGTTTTTTAATTTTTTTTTTTAAATTTTAACCAACATATGAGACAGAAAGTTAGAATAACATTTCGAATAGAATGGATGATCGTTACAGAAAAACTGAAGAGAATGGATTAGGCAATTCATACTATGTATTGAGTTATCAAAAGGTGGGGATGGGAGGGGGGGGAGGGGGCACCGTCACGTTCAACCAGCGTCTCCAAAGAGGGAGATTTGGGTTACCATTGTGACTAGGTTATGTAAGACCCTTTTCCACGTCTTTAGGCGCATTAGGCATATAGGGCTAGACCTATATTTTATCGACCAACGGCACAAGATGGGTGATGTTGTTTGTATCATGCCGGTCACCTTTACTTCCCGGGACTGCACCCGGTACCCACTCAAGGCTGGGTCGACCTAGGAGCCAAGGTCATTTCTGAAGAGAAGTCCGGCTCCGCCAGGGAGCGAACGACAAGGTTATGTGAGCCATTTAAAACTGCTTAGTTATCAATAAACACATGAGAGAGGGAATACCAACCTTGACCTCTGACCGAGCTAATGTAATCATTCCGGAAGTCGACCACGCCGTTCTGCTTGTGTATCTGGTGCAGTCCTCCATCGGCGTCCCTGGTTAGGTACAACTGGTCGAGGCCATCGTAGAAAACGCCATTCTGGCAAAAAAGCAACATTCAAGATGTCAGCCGGAGCCCCGCGTGTAGGGATTAGGGAAGGGGGGGGGGGGTAGACTCACTGCCTTCCAATAAGCATGTCGTAAGAGGACACACACTGAGAAAACAGAACAGCATAAATAAAATGGATTTGCATTAGAACCCACAGGGGAACAGGAATAAAGGAAGGCCAAAAAACACATGGAGAAGAAAGCTGGAGAATGAAGTTGGAAAGATTGGGAGGACATGGGGAGAGCTCCATGCAATGACGTAGGAGAGAACGACTTGGCGTGAGTTGGTTGAGGGCCAAAGCTCCATGGGGGATAGAAAGGCAGAAGAAGAAGAGGCGCTAAATTATGTGGGTTTTCCTCGAAGTTAAAGTACGTTTGTCTGAGAGGCAAGTAAGGAAGAGTCTGCCTACAAATAAACCAGATCTGTCAAAGCGAATATGCACACAAAACTCAAGTTCTAGAAAAAGACCAAAAATCCAGAAGCGGCCGAACAACCAGAACGAACAGAAAGAAGATGATTTAGATGATGTTTGTAGTGGTAGTGTTGTTAGTGGCGATGACGACGACGATGAGGAGGAGGAGGAGGAGGAAGAGGAAGGAATAAAAACAAGAAATTACAAACCCGTTGAATAACAATATATCATTTCAGTTTCTGCAATAAAATAGAAGAACGGAAAGACGAATTTAGAAACGAAAAAAACAACTAACAAATGGAGAAATAGAGATAGAAAGAATGAATGAAAGTATAGTATAAAGGAAACAAAGTATTGTATCAAAGAATAAAAGTATCGTATCAATAAATGAAAGTCTCGTATGAAAGAGTGAAAGTATTGATCAAGGAATAAATGTATTTGTTAGTTAGTTAGTTAGTTAGTTAGTTAGTTAGTTAGTTAGTTAGTTAGTTAGTTAGTTAGTTAGTTAGTTAGTTAGTTAGTTAGTTAGTTAGTTAGTTAGTTAGTTAGTTGGGTTATCCTCATTGCACTCCGGACATGTCCATAGGTGCTCAGATCCTCCCCTCAGTGTGAACCCCAACGTCCGATGGCTAAAAGTACCAGTTCTATGTTATTAACAAGTCTTCTGGCGTGTCTGGTGTGCGTCTCGTTTTTTGCTGAGCCGATCTTAATTCCCAAGTCTGCCATTCTGGCGAGTGATGTGGATTCACTGCCACCAAAGTCGTCTATCCTTCACATTTCTCTGAGGGCATTGATAATATCAGCATGATCCATAGGCTGACCGTCGGTAGTGATAGCGGATCCAGCCAACCTGTCAGCTCTTTCATTTCCATCGACGCCTGCGGTCCCGGAACACTGTGCGGTCCACGCACAGTGTACTTTTGTAATGATTCAAGCCATTGTCTTCGCACTGAACCTGCCTGAACCCTCCGGATCATACTCATTGAATCACTGAGTATACATACACGGGTGTATTTTTGTGTTTCAAGCCAGGCAAACGCTTGCGTCACTGCCATCACCTCCATCGTCATGCTGCTGGTTGTCATGGAGAAGGCACCGTTGGCTTCATTGACTGTTCTGCCCGCTGAGCGTGCTGTGAATGCCCATGCGCTTCGTCTTTGGCGTATAACGGATCTGTCTGTAAAGATTATTGCATCTGCTTCGTCTGAATTTTCACCGATGAGAGCGTTGACCTCTGCATTAACAGCAACAGGATTCTCTTCTCTACATCGCCTGTTGAGTGTGACAATACAGGAAAATGTACAAATAAACGCCTGAGGCACAGGTATCCATTCTGCACCAGGTATGATGTCGGTTAGGCTGCATATTTGCCTAATAACATCTTCTGCCCGACCAAGCCACCATTTCCCCCTCTTCAGTCTGTCGCCCTTTTCACTAAAAAGCGCTTGATGCAGTGGGTGTTTCTTATCAGCACATATTTTGAGATATGCCCGAGCCCTCCAGATCCTGATCCTTTGGTTCATTGTTGGAAAGTCAAGTAGATACCTCATTGCTGCACAGGATGTGTCTCTTGTACAACCCAAAATAATGCGCATGGCTTCATTTTGCACCTTTTCGAGTCGTTCAATCTGGGTAGCACTGACAGTGAGGATGGCCAGAGCGTATTCAATGGGTGAAAGGACCAGACCGTAGAATAGAAGTATTAGTAGTCTTTGCTCAATATTGGAAGCAGCCATAATCCTCATTGCAGATAGACCTTTGAGTGCTTTTGTTATCACATGGTCAACGTGTTCCCTGAATGACAAGCTGCGATCGAACCTCACCCGAGAATTAAACGTCATAACGTTGGTTCTGATCAATACATTATCACGCATTTTCACTTCTGGTAAGTCCGACTTGACAATGTGATTGTTCAAAGAGAACCATGACACTGATGCCCTCGAAGGATTGACATAGGCATTGGAACCATCACACCAGGCGGCAATTCGATCGAGTTCTTTGTGCAAAGTGCTGGCGATCTCCTGTCTATCACGCCCTCGTCGATAAATCAAAATGTCATCAGCAAATGTATTGTTTCAAGGGATGAAAGTATCGTATCAAGGAATGAAAGTATCGTATCAAGGAATAAAAGTATCGTATCAAGGAATGAAAGTATCGTATCAAGAAAGGAAAGTATCTTACGAAGGAATGAGAGTCGTATCAAGGAATGAAAGTATCGTATCAAAGAATGAGAATCGTATCAAGGAATGAAGCTATCGTATCAATGAATAAAAGTATCGTATCAAGAAATGAAAATATCGTATCAAGGAATGAAACTATCGTATCAAGGAATGAAAGTATCGGATCAAGAAATGAAAGTATCATATCGAGGAATGAGAGTCGTATCAAGGAATGAAGCTGTCACTCACCAGAACGAAGTCTGCCCGGTTGCTCCGTTTCCTCACCAGGAATGAGCTCCCCGTTGTCTCGTTAGAATACAGTGCTATTCCCTGGGGAATACAATTTTTGTTATTGTGTCATTCCCTGAGGAATAGAATTATTGGTACAGTGCTATTCCTTGGGGAGTAAAATTATTGGTACAGTGCTATTTCCTGGGGAATACAATTATTGGTACAGTGCTATTCCCTGGGGAACACAATTACTGGTACAGTGCTATTCCTTGGGGAATACAATTATTGGTACAGTGCTATTCCCTGGGGAATACAATTATTGTTACTGTGTTATTCCCTGGGGAATACAATTATTGGTACAGTGCTATTCCCTGGGGAATACAATTATTGTTACTGTGTTATTCCCTGGGGAATACAATTATTGGTACAGTGCTATTCCTTGGGGGATACAATTGTTGGTACAGTGCTATTTACTAGGGGATACAATTATTGGTACAATGCTATCCCCTAGGAAGTACAATTATTGGTAAAGTTCTATTCCTTGTGGAATACCAATATTGGGACATTGCTATTCCCCGGGGAAGATAATTATTGGTACATTGCTATTTCCTGGTGAATACAATTATTGGTACAAAGCTATTCCCATGAAATATAATTACTGGGACAGTGCTATTCCCTAGGGGATACAAAAACTGATACAGTGCTATTCCCTAGGGCATACAAAAACTGATACAGTGCTATTCCCTAGGGCATACAAAAAACTGATACAGTGCTATTCCCTAGGGCATACAAAAACTGATACAGTGCTATTCCCTAGGGCATACAAAAAACTGATACAGTGCTATTCCCTAGGGGATACAAAAACTGATACAGTGCTATTCCCTAGGGCATACAAAAACTGATACAGTGCTATTCCCTAGGGCATACAAAAAACTGATACAGTGCTATTCCCTAGGGCATACAAAAACTGATACAGTGCTATTCCCTAGGGCATACAAAAACTGATACAGTGCTATTCCCTAGGGCATACAAAAAACTGATACAGTGCTATTGCCTAGGGCATACAAAAACTGATACAGTGCTATTCCCTAGGGCATACAAAAACTGATACAGTGCTATTCCCTAGGGCATACAAAAAACTGATACAGTGCTATTGCCTAGGGCATACAAAAACTGATACAGTGCTATTCCCTAGGGCACACAAAAACTGATACAGTGCTATTCCCTAGGGCATACAAAAAACTGATACAGTGCTATTCCCTAGGGCATACAAAAAACTGATACAGTGCTATTCCCTAGGGCATACAAAAAACTGATACAGTGCTATTCCCTAGGGCATACAAAAAACTGATACAGTGCTATTCCCTAGGGCATACAAAAACTGATACAGTGCTATTCCCTAGGGCATACAAAAAACTGATACAGTGCTATTCCCTAGGGCATACAAAAACTGATACAGTGCTATTCCCTAGGGCATACAAAAAACTGATACAGTGCTATTCCCTAGGGCATACAAAAACTGATACAGTGCTATTCCCTAGGGCATACAAAAAACTGATACAGTGCTATTCTCTAGGGCATACAAAAAACTGATACAGTGCTATTCCCTAGGGCATACAAAAAACTGATACAGTGCTATTCCCTAGGGCATACAAAAAACTGATACAGTGCTATTCCCTAGGGCATACAAAAAACTGATACAGTGCTATTGCCTAGGGCATACAAAAAACTGATACAGTGCTATTCCCTAGGGCATACAAAAAACTGATACAGTGCTATTCTCTAGGGCATACAAAAAAACTGATACAGTGCTATTGCCTAGGGCATACAAAAAACTGATACAGTGCTATTCCCTAGGGCATACAAAAAACTGATACAGTGCTATTCCCTAGGGCATACAAAAAACTGATACAGTGCTATTCCCTAGGGCATACAAAAAACTGATACAGTGCTATTCCCTAGGGCATTCAAAAAACTGATACAGTGCTATTGCCTAGGGCATACAAAAAACTGATACAGTGCTATTCCCTAGGGCATACAAAAACTGATACAGTGCTATTCCCTAGGGCATACAAAAAACTGATACAGTGCTATTCCCTAGGGAATACAAAAAACTGATACAGTGCTATTCCCTAGGGAATACAAAAAAACTGATACAGTGCTATTCCCTAGGGAATACAAAAAACTGATACAGTGCTATTCCCTGAGGAAGTTAATTGCAGGTAGTGTGCTTTTCACTGGGGAATATAATTATTGGTACAGTGCTATTCCCAGGGGAATACAATTATTGGTACTATGCTATTCCCTGGGAAATACAGTTATTGGCACAGTGCTATTCCATGAGGAATACAATTACTGAAAAATGCTATATCCTAAGGAATACAATTATTGGTACGGTGCCGTTCCCTGGGGAATACAATTACTGAAACAATGATATTCCCTTGGGAATACAATTATTGATACAGCGCTATTCCCTGGGACAGTCCTGGAGGACGTGATATGTGTCCTTCAACCCCGGCAGGACCGTAGAACCAGTGACCAACACCTGGTGACGTAAAATGCCACCAACAGGACGAGGATCACCCGGGCACAAGACCCAGAAAGCCCATTCAGCCGTTAGGTTGCATTAGGGCCTTAACTACAGCCGGGGAGGGGCTTCAAAACAACAAAACAACTGCTTCCCAAATTGGGACGGAAAAGCACGTGATCTGTTGTCTCAGGTGCCAATTCCCACGTGCAAATGGCTGATTCGCCATTCTTAAATGTTGTTTATATGTGGCTGCGAAGTCGACTGTGGTCTTATCTAAGGCGAAGAACAATGACTTGCTCTGTCTGTTTGTAATGTTACCCCTCTAGATTTGCAATGCATATCACGGAAGCGATGTTCAACCGCCAGAGCGCAGTGTTATCAAGCGGAAGCACAAAACGGTTACCAGGGTAACCTGTCGTCCAGTGTGGTGAAAGACGTGGTAATTCTACGTTGTCACACTTTCAAGTATCAGCTCGGAAGGGACAGAGCACGAAACTAAGTCCTGAGCTGCTAATGTTTAGCTTCACAACAATGTCTTTATGATACAACTTCATCCTCTCTTCAACTTTTCACAGTCCCTATTCAACAATCAACTGAACTCAAAGACGGAAGACTTGACTCGTTGTCATCGGTGTCTTTTCATGTTTTCTGTGAAAGAAGAACTTGTTTCTACTCTGTCACGGGAGATAAATGAGACGCACTGACGTCTGCAGTACACAGACATTCATCACTTGCAGAGGTACGTGTTTTAACATCCATCTCTCCAAGGACATCATTCTTTAGCCAGCAGGATGAAATGTCTGAGGAAAACTTTTTCTCTTTCTTTTTCTTCCTTTTCTTCTTCTTCTTCTTCTTCTTCTTCTTCTTCTTCTTCTTCTTCTTCTTCTTCTTCTTCTTCTTCTTCTTCTTCTTCTTCTTCTTCTTCTTCTTCTTCTTCTTCTTCTTCTTCTTCTTCTTCTTCTTCTTCATTATTATTAGTATTATTATTCTTTTATTTTCTTCTTCTTCTTCCTCTCGTTCGTCATTAAAAGGGAGTATGGCACATTGTGTTGCGGTTTAAACCTTAGTTGCGTTATTTGTGTCCTTCGGCCAAACATATTTGATTTTGGATTATCTCTAGTGAGTTATATTTTACAAAATGCTTGTCAATGGTTAGTGCATTTACCCCACACCCACCTTTTCTTCTCACAGACTACTCATGGGCTAGAGGAACACACGAGAGGGCTAGAGAAATCCACGAGAGGGCTAGAGAAATCCACGAGAGGGCTAGAGAAATCCACGAGAGGGCTAGAGAAATCCACGAGTGGGCTAGAGAAATCCACGAGTGGGCTAGAGAAATCCACGAGTGGGCTAGAGAAACCCACGAGTGAGCTAGAGGAACCCACGAGTGGGCTAGAGAAACTCACGAGTTTGCTAGAGGAACCCACGAGTGGGCTAGAGGAACCCACGAGTGGGCTAGAGAAACCCACGAGTGGGCTAGAGGAACTCACGAGTGGGCTAGAGGAACCCACGAGTGGGCTAGAGAAACCCACGAGTTGGCTAGAGGAAATTATGGGATGGGGAAGAGGTGTGTAAACATCTCCCAGTGTGAGTACACATTTCTTGTGTGGGTTTCAGGGCTCGATTGTGGGGAAGACAAGAATAGACCCACAGCCTCCACAACAAGCATGTCGTAGGAGCCGATTATTTGGGAACATCCTTTGAAAGCCGAGTGCATATAACTGAGAGGTAAGGAGGTAACAGTCTGCATATAAATAAGACAAATCTGTGAAACGGATGGGCACGCAACACTGAAATTCTGGAAGAAGACCAAAGTTCAGATGCAGATGGAAAAAACCAGAACATAGCTCCAATGTCTTCTCAAATCGGACAGCTACGTGCATTTACTTAAACTACACAATCTCACAAATCGTATTCGTATATTGGATTGCAGGCTACTTGGTAGCAGCATGAATGTTGTAATTTAATTGTTAACTCTTTTATGGCAAGAGACAGAGATGTGGTTTTATAGACGGATGATAAGAACACACTGGACAGATAAAAAGGAATAATAAAGATGTCTTGAAAGAAACTGACTCACGAAGAGAACTGATTGCCCACATCAGACGGACACAATCTTCATTCTTTAGCCATGTGATGAGAAGGAGAAAACTGGAGTGCATCGTGAAAGGGGAAAAGTTGGAGAGAAGGAGAGGCAGAGGGAGACTGAGAGAACAGATGCTGGACAGTTTGGCATCGCGGTATGGAAGATCATCTGTGTCAGAACTGACTGAAACTGTACTCGACCGAAGGTTAAAATGGATACACATGACCACCAACGCATCACTGCATAGAGATTAAGAGGCGAAGAACTGTTCGTGTTAACTGAGTGTTCTTCTTAAGAGAATTCATGTTAACTAGGACTTACTATATTCAAAATATTATACTTATTTATCATTCAGCACATTGTTATTATCATTATTGTTGTTCTTAATTGGGCGTTTGGACAAGACAGGTAACTCGACACCCCCCCCCCCCACCCTCGTGTCTTACCACCATGTGACATGACCAGCAACGCCGTTTGAGAAGGGCTGTGAGAAAACAAAATACCAACGACTCGACCCCTGGTTCTTACAAAAACTGTGCATGTGGGTGGAGCTGCAGTTCCGGTTAATGAAATATGTTGTTCCGTGTATCATGGCGGAAGGACTCGTTAAGAATGCACACGCGCATACACACACGCGCGCAGGGCTATATATATATATATATATATATATATATATATATATATATATATATATATATATACAGAGAACGCGATAGCAAGAGAGAGAGAGAGAGAGAGAGAGAGAGAGAGAGAGAGAGAGAGCATTTTGCGGATAGAGCGATAGGGAGATAAATGAACTGAGAGAGAGAGAGAGAGAGATGGCAAAAACGAGAGAAAGGGGACGAAGAAGATTATGGGAGCGAGAAGGAGAGGAGATATGCAGAGAGTCAGGTGAGGAGAGAGAGAAGGAGAGGAGATATGCAGAGAGTCAGGTGGGGAGAGAGAGAGAGAGAAGAAGAGGAGATATACAGAGAGTCAGGTGGGGAGAGAGAGAGAAGGAGAGGAGATATGCATAGAGTCAGGTGGGGAGAGAGAGAGAGAGAGAGAGAGAGAGAGAGAGAGAGAGAGAGAGAGAGAGAGAGAATAAAAAAGTAACAGCGAGGAAGGAGGGAGAAAGGGTAAGATAGAGAAAGAAAAGGATGTCATACGAGAACATCCGTAATGAGAATTAATAGTGCAGAAAATAGCTGTCAGGACAAAACATAGGCGGATGCTGGTTTTAATGTGGTGTTTTTGTCTTGGCAAACGTGTTTAGCGCGAGGTACAGACTCGTTAGACCGTGACGTCTATAGTCTGTCATTGCCTAGTCTGTTGGTGTTTACTGCTTTGTTGACAACAGACAGGCTAGGTTCTGTTTTACCTGAAGCGCTAGCAAACCTTGTGTAGATCTACTTACCGGGCCATGCACATGTGCTGACAGACCAGACTAGATATAGGCAATAGCCAATAGGATTTTTATCAAATCCCAAGCTAAGCTGGCTAAAAACCCCAGCAATACATAAGCAAAGAACAATAAACACAAACAAAAACCCAAAATTAATAAAAAGTAAAAACTGTATAGTTACGAAACGAAATTTGTACCCACTTTTATATAAGGAAATATTTTGTAAAAACCCAAGATTCCTAAATCTTAACCCAAGGCGTCAAATAAAAACCCATATCTGGGGGTAAAACCCATCATTGGCAGCCCTGTATATAGGTATTTATTTAGTTACTTTGGGAGAAATCCGCTGTAGGCTCAGAGAATGACAAAAAACGGACTGTCGCAGTTTGCTAGAAGCTAAACGCAGCAAGCTACAGGGAGGATGTTTCTGAGAGACAACGAGCCTCCGTATCATATAATATCAACGTTTGTATTTGGACTATATGGCACAGACTGCATTGTTACTTTGTTTTTTCTTCTTCTTCTTCACTTCCTCTTTTACCGCTGTGGGTGTCGAGGGAGATATAAGGTTCTGTCTCTAGCTCTTCTGGCCGCCTCGACCATAGGCACATCGTGCTGTTGTAGAGTTTCTCTGATGTTATCCTTCCATATTGTTCTTGGTCTACCTCGTGCTCTACGTCTTTCTTCTCTTTCCATGTATGCTTTGTATGGTATGGTGTCACAAGGCATTCTCTCTAAGTGGGCAAACCATTTCACTTGCTGTCTTTGTATGTAATTTAGAATTGGTAGTTACTTTGTTTTGCATTGTTAATTACTTTTTTAGTTAGTTTATCAGCTAGCTAACTAGCTGATCTATGTTTCGCTGAGCTGAACGCAGCCTGAACTTGGTGAGAATAACAGCAGTAGACGTTTATCTACAGTATGTCAAATTCTTTGACTTCAGCATCTGTATTCATGTTTTGCTATTTTACTATGTCCAGTCATCGGTTGAATGTACTGACATCATCTATAGGAAACTATTGTTGTGGCCAAACGTCCCTTGGAACACACGATAGCATATTTCCGGTCATGTGCATCTTCTGTTTAGTGGTTTTGGGAAAAAAACAAACTTGCAGGGATTTCTATATCCACAAACGATAACCAGCTAATAAATACAAGGAGAGAAGCAGAAAGGATTAGGACCCCCCCCCCCCCCCCCCCCCCCCCCCCCCCCCCACTTTCCAACCTACTTTTTTTAACTAACCCCCCCCCCCTCCCCCCCCCCCCCCTCCCCCCCCCCAATTTAACCTAGAAACAATCGTTCTCACAATGTGCCAGGCTAGAAGGAATAATTAAAACAATCAATTCCCTCCAGTCATAGTATTTGAACATTGTTGTTTGTGCTAATCTTCTTGAGTCTAGTTTCGTAGCCCAGCTATTGAGGAGTGCACGCCGCGACACTGTAAGCTGCGGATAAGGGACAGTGATGTACATTATGTGTGGTTCTCGCTGGTACAAGAACGAAGCAGCTATAGGGTGACCCATTTGCTACGACGTCGAAACTGCGATTTGCTGATTACCTGATTCTCGAGTCTTTAAAATCTATCTCCAGGAAACTAGGGACAAATTTGGTGAACATGATTTTAAAGCCGAGAGTATGTGCCCAAATACAAATTACAGTGATGTGGGGAAACTAGACCGACAACAAAATCTGCCTCTTAGTAGGTATAATCTTCTTCTTCTTTGTCTTCACCAGCTGTAAACCCTGGTGGAAATTCTGGGTGTTCATCCACTTCTGGACTGCAGTCCTGTTCCAGAACCTGAGTGTTGCATGTGCATCTGTTTGACAGATCTGACTAATTTGTATTCAGACTGTTGGTCCCCTGCCTCTCAGGTAGATGTACTCAGACTGTGAAGAAAGCTCCCAATTAGTCGACTCTTACGACATGCTTTTGGGTAGGCAGAGGGTCTATTCTTGTTTTCCCTATAACAGGGCCCCAGAACATACATGTAGATGTAGATATAAAGAATCAGCAGAACTTCCAGAGGAGGTAGTTGTCGGTAAAACCGAAAAGTTCAAGGTGGGAACGTTCCTCCCAATTTTGAACACTCTTAACTGTGTGCTGAGTTGAGTCGAGAATTGACATCATAGCACTCATGGCATTCCCATGCGTGCTCCGTCCTCATCTTCAGCAGCCAGCTCAGAGTTCTAATACTGATGGTACCACTCACAATTTGGTCATAAATCCGTCTTGCCTTTCATCTGAGTGAAGTGAGCCAGCCAGACCCTCTGGTTACACTCAGGGGCCTCATTCTCTCCAGGCCATAATAATCTTGTTTCTTTAACTCGCTTCTTAACTTTGAACTGACAAAACGTACAGAGGCACATTCACATATTGAAAATCGGTTTTCCTTTTTCAGTGAACTGACAACTAAGGCTTCTGTTGCACTCCAGAAAAAGTGTGAACATCCGGTTAACATGTCTCCCAGTGACCTGAATAAATTATGATGACCTCTTCAATAAACGACAGTATCTCATGCACACGTGGCTCTTCATTAACATTCTCTCTAAAATGTGGAAAAAAATAATTGTGAACAATTTGAAATCTGGGTGCTTTATAAATATCTTACCCCAAACAGGGGACAGTCTAATATTTCAGGGTGTGGTAGATAGGCTACATGCAGTCGTGGGACCTAGGCTGCACTCTCTCGTGGGACGTAGGTGGGTTGGGGTTAGGGCCAGTTGTAGATGTTTTGGGCTCTCCCTGGTATGTGTGAACACTGCCATCGTGAAGGACACTGACGTTAAGCCAATAATAAAGCAGTTGTATGTAAAGATCTGCCACAAATGTTTGTTATAATAAGAAGTTCCTACTAATTTTATATAGCGCCATCTATTCTATGTGTATATATATGAACATCACTTTTGTTGAAATGCCTGCAAAATACATATATCTCTAATATTATCAACCATTTACATTTAATTCTTGTGACTGACTGACTTTCTACCCCACCAGGACATCACACAAGCGATAAACACCCGATGACACAATGTGCCACCATGTGGTTGAGGATCACCGTGGAGAGGTCCCAAAAACCGCGTTCAGCATTTAGGCCATATTTACGGCCAGGCTATATTGCGGCCCCTGGCAAAGCCAGAGTAGGGCTTCGAATAACAAAAAATTTAATCCCGAAAAGGACGGGAAGTATGTAAGAGTGACTGTCGTAGGGGCCTCGGCACACTGGTTTGCTCAGGGCGATCCCATACTGTTAAGGCATACCTGGCCTAACTGGAACAGAAATTAGTTACGTAAAAAAGATCTAGAGAAAAGCTGCCAGATGCTCGACCACTCACCTTGTCATGCTGCAGCTCTTTCCGCTTAATGCGACCATTTTCTATAATGAAAACCGGAAAATCCGGCACATCTGATTTCTCTTCCTTGTTCTGCCCGAAAGCATTCCGGCGCATCCGGATATTTTGCTCACGTGACCCGTACCGGATTTGGAAATGAAGAGAACTTGGCATGACGTCTGCTGACCTTTTGACTCGATCACCAACATGGCGGGTATTGCTCGGACCAGGCTCGTAAATTTCTTCTAGAATCTTCACTTCAGCGGAGTCTGTGGGTTTACGAGACCAGTAATGAAACTACAAGGAGTAGCAGTAATAAATATAGTAGTTTTAGTAGTAGTAGTAGTAGTTGTAGTAGTAGTAGTGATAGTAATGGCGGTAGTAGTAGTAGTAGTAGTAGTAGTAGTAGTAGTAGTAGTAGTAGTAGTAGTAGTAGTAGTAGTAGTAGTAGTAGTAGTAGTAGTAGTAGTAGTAGTAGTAGTAGTAGTAGTAGTAGTAGTAGTAGTAGCCGCAGCAGTAGTAGTAGTAAGTAGTAATAATAGTAGTGGTGGTGTTAGTAGTAGTAGTAAGTAGGTGTAGTAAGTAATAATAATAGTAGTAATGGTATTAGTAGTAGTAGGTAGCTGTAGTAAGTGATGGTAGTGGTGGTAAGTAATAGTAGTAACTTGTAGTAGTAGTAAGCAGTAGTAATAAAGTAATAGTAGTGGCGATAGTAGTAGTAGCAGCAGGAGTAGTAGTAGCAGCAGTACCAGTTGTAAGTAGTAGTAAAAGTAGTTGTGGTGTTTGTAGTAGTAAGTAGTTGTAGTTAGTAGTAGTAGTAGTAGTAGTAGTAGTAGTAGTAGTAGTAGTAGTAGTAGTAGTAGTAGTAGTAGTAGTAGTAGTAGTAGTAGTAGTAGTAGTAGTAGTAGTAGTAGTAGTAGTAGTAGTAGTAGTAAACAGTTGTAGTAAGTTGTGGTGGTGGTAGTAAGTAGTAGTAGATAGTAAAAGTAAGTAGTAGTAGATAGTAATAGTAAGTAGTAGTAGATAGTAATAATAAGTAGTAGAAGTGGCGGTGGTTGTAGTAGTAGTAGTAATAGTAGTAGTAGTAGTAGTAGTAGTAGTAGTAGTAGTAGTAGTAGTAGTAGTAGTAGTAGTAGTAGTAGTAGTAGTAGTAGTAGTAGTAGTAGTAGTAGTAGTAAAGGCGTTGCGAGTCTGACTCGTAATCCAACGTACCGGATCGAAACCTGCAGTGCTGCGTGGATATTTGTCATGGTATGGGACGTCGCGGGTCGACCCAGCCTCAAATGGGTACCAGGATGGGCTGACCTGGGAAAGTAAAGACGGCCGGCGTAATGCTGACCACTTTACCCACCGAGTGCCGAGTGGTCTGTAAAAATATGGGTGCTCTTCCCACATGCCCAAGCGCCTAAGGGCGTGTAAAGGGATCTCTTTACTTTACTTTACGTAGTGGTGTTAGTATTTATGAGTAGCAAGAGGAGAACGAAAACGCAGCATACACACACACGCACGCACACAAAAGCGACAAAAAGAAGCCAGAAGAGAGGAAACACTACAAGCACATACCGTAGAGTAAACCATTCTCGTCTGCTTGATGTAACCATGGCAACCCGACTGTAAACACGGGGAAAACCAAAGCCAGAACGTAAGCCGCCTCCAGCCGGTACACCATGACAGTACCCGATCTGTGAGTGATTGGTGGGAATTGTAGTGTAATGAAACTGTAACTTACACCCTTTACAATTAATCATCATCATCATCATAAATTTCTTAACGAGGGAACCAGACCTTCCGGACAACCCAGGGTTTCCTTGGGACGAAAACATTCGACAGTCCCTGGGAACTGGAATGGCCACAATAAAAAAAGAAACCAAAAAAAAAAAAAAAAAAAAAACACTGCTGATAGTCAAGTCTGGTAATCTCTTTGATAACACTACTACACCCCAAGGTAGACGAAGATGGACTAAGTAATTAAGCCACTAGGTTCGTGTGAAGACAAAGTTTGTGATTCATTGTTTCGTGGATCTTAATGGATATTTTCATTCCTTATCGACGTAGAAGGTCTTTAATGTCATCAGTCCATGTTCTAGGGCGGCCTCTTGCTTTCAGGTCACAATCTTTTCATGTTTTCGTGTGTAGCACCTGTGTTAGTCAGTTGTTGTGGCTACATTCTAAGGCGACGGCCAAACCATTTTATCTTCTCGGACAATTAGCAGCTGAACAATTTTATTGATACCTCAGAGATGTGGGGGATTTTCCTCCAGAAGAATTATTTAATTAATTGGATAGGCAAGATGAATAATCCAGATGTTACGAAAGAGGCGAGGGCTCAAGGGAACTTATCACAAACATCGGGAAGGTACAATCATCATTTTGTTCTCCCTCGCTCTGAGCCGAATGAAACTGGAACCTGTGACGACTGCAAAGAGAAAGAGTTATAGCGGAAGACAAGGCGAGAAGACTAATGACACCCTTTTATTGTGGCATGGAAGGACCAATAAATTCATGCTGTCCGGAAATCATAAATTGTGAAGGGGCATGTCCCTCATGCCACTCGGCAAGAGTGCTTTGTGATGATGCTGATAATGATTATTATCATTATCATCATCATTATCAAAATCCTCGTAAACTAACATTCAGACTTCCATCACGAATGGATCAGATATGGAGCGCCATATATATATATATATATATATATATATATATATATATATATATATATATATATATATATATATATATATGTCAACTGTAAAAGTAAAGTAAAGGACCTTTTTCCACGCCTTTCAGGCGAATTGGGCATATAGGGCTAGACTTATATTTTATAGACCAACGTCGCAAATTGAGTGATGTGGTCAACATCACGCCGGCCGCCTTTACGTCCCAGGACTGCACCCGGTACCTACTCAGGGTTGGGTCTACCTGGGAGACAAGGGCATTTTTGAAAAAAGTCCGGCTTCACCAGGAAACGAACCCACGACCTTCCGATCCCCAGGCTAGCGTCTAGCCGCTCTGCCACGGGGACTCCCATATATAAAGTGTGGCTATTTTAATCGCATGTATTGTTTTAACGCGATTATTTATTTCAGTTAAGCTAGTTACCGAAGGAGTAAAAAGTAACTGATCCTGATGCTCGTGTATGTAGACTGAGTTGTTGCGAAAGTCCACGGTGCGTACATCTCTGTTTCGGAGAATGCATGTGCTGTTGGCAATAAAAGAGCTGATAAACTGGCAGAGTTTGCCTTAGCTGCAGGTGATAGGTCTATGGATCGCACCTACAGTGTTAGTGCCCTTAAAGAGATAGAGCAGTATGAGGAGAGTGGGTGCACAGTGTCCATATCACTGTTAAGGATGTGTGAATTGGGAGTAAGATGAGATGAGTTCAGTCAAGAATTTACATCACAGCGCTCGGGGCATTCCCATGAGTGCTCCGTCCTCATCTTCAGCAGCCAGCGCAAGAGTTCCAATACTGATGGTACCGGTCACAGTCTGGTTATATGTCCGTCTTGCCTTTCCTCTGAGTGTAGTCTCTGTCTGGCACTGCGACAGTTCCAAAAGCACACTCTTACATGGCTGAACCCCAGCAGTTCTGTTTTTTTTTTTGGCCTAAATCTCCTGGCTCCTGCCCACCTACTTTTCTTTTCCCATCATTTCCTCGTTTTCTCCTTTTCACTGTCAAGTGCAGAGCACGTGCTCCGTAGCTCCGGTGAAAATTCTTATAAAATGAAAAAATCCATATGAATGGGAGTGAAGATTGGCACAGCCAATCATAAGAGGAACACCGTATAAGAAGTTAACCAGCACTATTAACCTCGAAACAATGATTTATATGTTTAAGGGGGAATCTGAGCTCCTATGGACGTGTCCGGAGTGCCGTGAAAATAACCCAACTCAGAACTCGTACAAAGAATTTAAAATATGAAAGACCAGTTTTACGCCAGTTGGGAATAGTGCATGTTATGCTCAACTCATAAGGTTATATACTAACTGCCCTCGGTGGGTAATGAGATCAGTGTCACACCGGCCGCCTTTACTTCCCATGAGATTGCCTCCTCTCTGTTTTAGGCTGCGTCCTCCTGGGATGCGAAGTCAATTTTAAAGAAAAAAATATCCATCTCAATTCTGATTCGAACTAAAGTCCTTCAAGTCGGTAGGCGAGCGTTTAGCAGCAAAGCCACCGCAGGTTGCGTACTAAACTTTGAATTGGAGGTTTTATCTTCAACAGAAGTCTTCTTCAACAAACAATAAAATGGCGGGAATACTGAACTAGAAAACTGAAATACGCAATGCGAAAAAAATATATAATTCACACGTTTTAGGGAAAAGCAAACAACACTGCAGGAAAAAAAAAACAAGTTGACTGACTGACTTTCTACCCCACTAGGACATCACACAAGCGATAAACACCCAATGACACAATGTGCCACCATGTGGATGAGGATCGCAGTGGAGAGGTCCCAGAAACCGCGTTCAGACAATTGGCCATATTTATGGCCTGCCTATATTGCGGCCCCTGACAAAAGCCAGGGTGGGGCTTCAAATAACAAAAAAAAAATGTCGTCCTAAAAAGGACGAAAATTTAATAGTCAATTGTTTTAAAAACAAGTTGAAACGAACGAGGAGAAAGTAATGCTGAACAAGGAAACATAACATGGGGAAATGTTCCCAGGAAAAAACCACAGAAAACACTGGAAACCCATGTTGGGATACTGGCCAGTTGGCTGGATGTGCGCGCACACACACACGCGCACGCACGCGCGCGTACACACACACACGCGCGCACACACAAAGAAAGAAAAAAAAAAGGGGGGGGGGGGGCTTTCTGGTTATTTAATAATGTGGGCTTTCTTATCTCTCTTTGTCTTGAAGTGAATCTTTCCTTATACAATTTCTGTTTCAACAAGACAATCATTTTGTCATTATTGTCTGACAAGGCTGGCAGTCCAGTCCTTCCCTGTGTTATATCCTATTCTTGGGGCCTTTCAATCTGCAGTGGCTTCAGCAAATTTGCAATGTTGTTGTTCATAAACGCAGCTTTCTTTTATAACAACCTTTGAGGGGATTACACAATATATTGTATGTGGTTGTGCAGACACATTATTTATGATTTCTTTCAGAAAAGATTATACTCCGATATATTTCTATCATCTATGATCCATGATCAATGATTCTTGATTCATGGATCCATGATTCATGATCCATCCATGATTCATGATCCTTGATCCATAACTCATTATCCATGATTCATGACCGATGATCCATGATTCATGATCCATGATCCATGACCCATGACCGATGATCCATGATCCATGATCCATAACTCATGATCCATGATTCATGACCAATGATTCATGATTCATGATCCATGACCCATGACAGATGCTCCATTATCCATGATCGATGATCTATGATTCATGATCCATGATCCATAATCCATGACCGATGATCCATGATTCATAATCCATGACCCATGATCCATAACCCATAACCAGTGACCCATGATCCATGATCGTGCGAGATGGTAAACGTAACCAGCTACGCTCATATAGAAGGCACATGATAGTGATGATGAGGACACATATTTCAAGTTGTCACAACATGCTCTCTCCGTATGGTTTCCGGGGTCCCATGTGGGATTTTGGAGGGGGAATAGATCCCGCCCCCACCCCCTTACCCAGCAAGCATGTGTAGCAGTCGACTAACTATTTGTCTAATGACAGGGTAAAACTCATTTCCTCGAACATGATCAAATTTCAGAAGTGGACGAACAACCAGAACATTCTGCCGGAGTTTATAGCCGGTGAACGCGAAGAATTTAACAGGTTCCAGTTACGCGGTCTTCAAAATATGGCCACATGTTATGATGGCTTCTGTTTGCCGTTTGTAATAAGTTATATTTGCGTTTTTAAGTTCTTTCAACACATTTCTATGATTCATTTCTGGCTGCTGTGTGAGTTTAAAGTTTGAAACATCCATCTGTAAAAAGCGTTATGATGACCACACCATCAATTGCGTGCCCACTAAACTGTAAAAAATAATAAGTCTACCATCTATGCCCGATGTGCCACTGTCGTGATAAGCGTCTTTTACTTTTGTTTACTTTGCTTTGTTTTCTTTTAAACTGCATCTCGAAGTGACCTCGGGAATATCTAGGTTTGTTTACCAATTATCCGTGGTTACAGACGCAGGTTAAAATTGTTTTTAGCATGCAAGATTGCCGGGCTGCACGGACAGCGATTTATTGCATAAAATATTCTTTATTTAAAAAAATATACATCTTGTCTCCACTTTTTGTTCTTGATCCCTGTGAAACACGCCCCATCTGATATTATACATGTGTTAAGCTCTGTGTGTGTATGTGTGTAAAGTGTAAAATAACGAAGTGTGTGAATGTGTAAGGTATAAAACGTGAGGTGTGTATCTGTATGGTTGAAGTGTGTAAATGTGTAAGGTATAAAACGTTAAGTGTGTACGTGTATGTGTGAAGCGTGTCAATATGTAAGGTAGAGAACATAAAGTGTGTACGTGTATGGGTGAAGTGTGTGTGTGAATGTGTAAGGTAGAGAACATGAAGTGTGCACTTGTATGGTTGAAGTGTGTGTGTGAATGTATAAGGTAGAGAACATGAAGTGTGTGTCAATGTGTAAGGTAGAGAACATGAAGTGTGTGTCA